TGTTTCAGTCAGAGGTGGTTATTGGGATTTGACACCTCTGAATGACCAGTCAGCATCGAATATTTCCCATACTGTATACTGATTAATTATTTATTGTTAGCTATAGTTCATTGACTGGGACTTTTATTTCATTAAAGTTACTGTAACAAGGTCTCAATCTCAATGTGTTGTTCAATTCCTTCTGACGCCATCTTATTGAGGATCTTTCTTAAAAAATGGTTTATCATGAAGGACAATCTCGTTTTGGTTCTTTGAAAGGGGTGAACATTTAAATGTATATAACACGTAGAGTTAAACTCAGTTTGTATATAGAGCTATCATGCATAACTTGTCGACAATGTTGATGCTGAAGAACCACAAGACCTAGACGTCAAGCGAGCGGGGGACTTTGAGAAATGTGCCTTCAAAATGTTAGAAACAGAAAACACTGAAAGACTATTTTAAGTAGATGAAGCAAGTTGTCAAGACAGTAGCACTTGCATTTACAGGAGGAAACGTGTGTCGTTGATGTGATAAATTCAGTAAGTAATGTCTCTATTGTTATGTATATAAATGGAAAAAAAATATAAAATTTTGCACTGTCATTAATTATAAATTAAGGAATGAATGAATAAACAACATAACAATATAAATATTTCGTTTTTAATGATTTTATTACAAGGTACACACGGTTATTATCTATCGTGAAGACGTCCGATTTTCGATCACAAATCACTTAATTTCGTTAATCCGACATACTCGTTAATCCGACACAATCATGTGCAACCAACGATGTCGGATTAACGAGACTTGACTGTATATAGGTTACAGACGCTGATGTGTATATATATATATGATCAAAGCACACTTTGTTGCAGACTAAACAACACGTGGTACCAGCTGAAATCAGCTTTCTGGTTAAGACTACAATATAACGATAATATATTTGTATATATCAGCTATACACATATACATCTAGACAGGTATTCATTTGTTATAGGTACCGTTAACATATCTAGTATCTAGGCCAGTGCGCAGCTATGTCTATTTATAGACTAGCGTGGGCTTTGTGCGTCGTGTCTACTGAATTAATTGACCAAATTAACTCTACGTTTTTTGATATTTTCGTCAGTGCCATAGTTAAATATGCACTCTTGTGAACATCAATGGTTACTGCGCTTCACTTCCTTCTGGAAAACCAAGCTGATGATTGAGAGAAAAAACCAATCACATGGCGATGAATGAATTACACTCCATCATGTGATCCGTTTCCGACACTTACACATCACGGGGATAAAGTCATAGAATGGGTTTCCATGAGGTTATCAATGCGGAGTACACCCCCATCACCTAATTGTCCGGCTCAATTACCAGATCACCTAATCACCACGTAGCCTAGATCACCTTTTATCTGTGCAGAAACTCATTATGAGGTTTCTCGACACCACTTAAAGCTAATTGAACTAAGAATCTCCTTGTACTGTTACAAGCTGCACCTATCAACCCCATGCATGAGACAGCGCTAGCTGGAACTATATCTGGCAAAACGCATCTTTGTAAATAGTCAGTGCGTGAACACATTCCACGTGCACATGGGGACAAAACAAATTGTTGTGAGCATTTTACATTTCACGGATCGTCGTGTCTATTTACACAAGCACACAATTCTTAACAAAACCTGCTCAAAACTACCCTGCCTTATTGTTTAGTCCTCTTACTAAGTAAAAACACGGGTGACAATAGACGGTTATATTTTGGTCTTCTTGTTTTGACGTAATGAAAAAAACTTGATGAAGGTTGGCAATGTTACCTCATGATTATGGATAATTTATTTAAAGAACAATTAGTCATTAACTTTGCTGTTTGTAACTTGTAATGTGTAATAATAACGCGGTAATGTTATCATTGACATGAAAAAATATCTGATAACGGTATGTTTATTACACAGGTATATGCACAGGACGTATCGTCTCAGGATATGTACTCTGGTGAAATCAATAACAATAGGTTGTGGCACACCCGTACAAAAGAAGTGGCAGATAAATCACATACTTGTGCGAGACAGTAATTTTCTAATTATCCACCCGATATCGATAACTCTCTGTGGGGGTGGATGACAGTGTATTAAGTATATATGCCCCTCACTCCCATTGGCCAGAGAAGTAATCACTATATATAGACTGCATATATCGATGAAATGCTGTTTGTGTAACGCTGGTATGTATATAGAGATAACTTCACGGATATACTTATGTACATCTTAAGTATACCACATATCATTGCACACGGGGACATATGAGCAGAGTCAGGTACATAGGGTTAAGATCTATGACAATTCGAAGAGACGGCGACGGTGGATACATACTCCTCATAAGATGTAAATAAACATCCATTTTTTTCATATGATCATAGTTAATAAACCATAGACACCCGAGCACGGGTGTGGTGCAGACAAACCTAGAAACATAATCGGGGCGAACGGGATTCGAACCCACAAGGTTTCTGGCGCGTCCAAGGGACGCAACTCTGCACAGCGATTTGCTGCGGCCTAGACGACTTAGCGCCCCAATTTTACATAAGAGATATATAGGTATTTTTTTGAGAATCGTCGGAAAAGTAAAATAAATGTTCCGATATTATGAGGTAACGTTACCAATCTTCATCATTAAAGTTTTTCCATCAGAAAAGGAAGACCAAAATAAAATATTTTATTATCAACCGTATTTCTACTTAGTAAGAAGACTAAGCGGTTAGTTTTGAACAGTTTTTGCGAAGAAATGTATCCAAAGACATAAAGTAATACGACGATCCGTGAAATGTAAAATGCTCACAACAATTTGTTTTGTCCCCGTGTGGAATGTGTTTACCCACTGACTAGTTACACTTCTATTTGAATATATGTGTTGTGCAAATATAGTTCCAGCTGGTGCTGTGTCATCATGGGGTTGATAACACGAAACTCTTAGTTCAATTAGCTTTGGTTTTGAGAAATATTATAATATGTAACCACACCGAAGACCTGGGTTCGATTCGAAACATTGGTATACCCATTCTCGTTGTCACATGGCTGATATATTACTGAAGCGGGGTGACGTATAACAATTCTCTCTCACTTTTAAATAACTCATGATAGACGTAAAACCCACTTGAAGCATGATTCGTAAGAATAGGTGTAAACACATGATAATCCATACTTCAGTCACGACTAGCCTTTCTGACACATAAATTACTTCCATGCATATGGTCATATGCTATAGGTCTACATATTATTATTGAGTAACTAGTTATGAACTATTAAATAACACGAAAGATTTTTTTTTTTATTGACCTTTTAGAAATCCAAGAATTCAGCCTCATACTGTTTGTCAGTTATTTTATCTATACAACTTCCAATGAGATTTTGTATGGTTAAAACGTGCTTTATTACATGATTCTTGCCAACGGGAAAAGAACCAGATGGAAGTAGATATACACACATGACCCAAACAATGGTATTCCTTGTAATATTGTAAAACTCGCTGGTGCATTTGAATTAGAGCAACAGATGAAAGCGCCTGCAAGCGCTAGGAAGGTATAAGTTTGTGTATTTTTAGCTATGACATAAAATGTAAGTATACAGCCTACGTCTATAAATTGTGCTTTAGAAAGTCAGGTGCTGTGCACATATAAGTTCATGAATAAATTACATTGCACGTCTCGTTGATCTCGCGTATGAATGATTAATGTATATTACATTCACGTGCTGGGATAGTATCGAAAAAAATACATAGCTCAGAAAATGCTTGAAAGAATCATTTAAAAAAAATATGTTTGCCACAAACAAATACATTGTTGCAAGAAGCTTAATTGTTTTATTTAGGCTCATAGTTTAAAAATTATAATATATCTGGTTTGCAGTAGATGGCCCTTCAAAAGTCCGGTAAATGTACAGACAGGGGGACAACAACCGTTTTTTCCTGACCAGCTATTTTTAGCTCCATGACAAGTACAGCAGGTTCGGTGTCTGGATTGTCAATGTATTAGCATGATGTGTAATGAAAGTTCCGGATAATTCACTCAGGATATTTCCAAAGAGATGTATACTTTTTGTAAATATAATTGTATAATTTTAAACACACTTATGTATGTGTCATATTCTGTATGATAAAGATAAGATACAATATCTGAGACATTGCTTGTCAATTACCTTGGAAACAACACTCACCGTAGAACAATAAAAAATGTTTGAAATCTACACATAAAGGCGGACAGCATGAAGACGATTTGCAGCGGCACGGCATGCATTTGAACATATTATACTTTAACTGAGAGTTTTCCAGCATGTCTATAAAGCAGAAATTTAAGACGGCAACAATATACACACACAGTACAATATTTCTGCATATCAATAGAATATGCACACTGCAGGACCACAAACATGGACATGATCATAACTAAAAATATATTAAAATAAAACAAAGGTGCTGATGCGGTTTATAGAATCACAAAATAATTATGCGAAAAGAAATATAACAAAAGGCTAATACACATAAAAACATAAACGAAAGCTGTGCAGACAATTTACATACAAGGGTATAAACCCAAAATGATTTATCAAATTAGACGATCCATTTAAAGTGACACAAATACTGAAACTGAATAGAAAAGTACAGATTTTTGCGATAAGAAAAGATGAAAAACATCAACATAATATTCAAGAATTTTAGCGTGAGAAAGAAACCAGGTTATGAAAATAATCAAAATAGTATAGTAATATAAAATAACATGTTTAATCGATGAACTAACTATGTTCATCTTCAATCTCTATCGATATCCGGATTTGTTTTCTGAAGTCCCTAAATTTTCAGTATCAAAACATCCACACAGTCAACAAGGAATATAGAAAATGTTGTCACTGTATCATACATAAGTTGGGACTTCCCCTTCTATTTATACTCATTATTGGTTTTCCCCCGTTTATTTATACAATGCAATCACGTGTTTCCGGCGTTATGCGCATTGCTCCGACGCGAGTATATATTGAGGTTACTGGTGGTATCATTACTTGGGCGCTGTTTCACCGCAGTATATAACCCGGTTTTGTGGTTATGGGAGATTTGCGCGAAAGAGTAGAGGCTGATGGGGCACCAGCTATTCAACCTCAAGTTACCCAGACTGCTCGATATGAACCCACAATTGAACCAGCAAACGACGCGGACAAACTCCGACAAAGGCTGAACACGTATGCACGATGGACAAGTCAGAAGAGCGCATTGCAGCTGGCAACTTCAGGATTTATATACACAGGTATTATACACAACTATATGCAAATATATATACATACTACTTCCGACACAAATTATCTTTGCTGGACTTAATTTATTTTTTATATTAATAGTTGTTATGCTATCAGCAGCTGATCAGTTGTGATCTGGATTTTTTTATGATTATTATGCATTGCACTATTTGAGGATGCGTTGAGAATTTGGATATATCTTGACTAGGTATCACGGACAAGGTCGAGTGTCAGTCTTGTGGTATTCGGCTGTACAACTGGCAAGATGACGAGGATCCTCTCCAAGCACACAAGAAATATGCCCCGGATTGTGAATTCATGACCAAGAATTTCCCCCAGATAAAAGCACCCCCGAAACCAACGAAGATCCTCACAGTGAAGTACTCCCATTACTCTGATTATGAAACGCGCCTGAGGAGTTTCGACTCGTGGCCACTGAAGTGTGTCGCCCAAAAACCCGAGATGATGGCCAGGTCAGGGTTTTTCTACATAGGGTCAGCTGACCGGGCAAGGTGTTTTCACTGTGGTGTGACATTGAGAGACTGGGATACGGACGACTACCCACCATGTGCACACAAGCAGTGGTCTGAGAACTGCCCTTATGTTCAGCAACTTGATGTGGATGGAATGAAAAAAGAAATTGAAGAGTGGGAAAGGACTGACAAATTGAGAATTCAGTTTGAAAATTCAACTTTTATCGATGTTAATTCCAGCAAACTTAACAATGTGAATGTTGGTTGCTACGGTGCTGGTGACATCACAGTTGACGGTGTTACAAGTGGTGCAGCGGCCAATCCCCAAGTCCACTCCCAAGTTTCAGATCCTTCTAATGACGATTTCGGAAATAGCCCCGCGATCCAGGCGGTCGTGGAAATGGGTTATTCTCATGACATGATCAGGCAAGCCATAGCCATTAGAAGGAAAAATGGAAATGGGGATTTTCCCGATGCGGTTACACTCTTTCAAGCAATCATGGACGTTGAAGACGGAAGGTGAAATCTTCATGAAACACACCACGGTAAGCACCAATGATAGCAAGGCTAGTTTCCGCGTGACTAAATACATATCTAGGTGTCTGTCACCGCTATCGACTTCAGCAGGCAAGTGTGTCAGCGTATGCGATATCCGTTGTGACTCACACATTTTGAACTCATAATGTTATACCACGGTGGTAAAGGTTAGATAATGAAATTGCTTGTGCTCTATAAAATGTTTCACAGTCTTACGGAATATTAATGTGCTTGGTGTTTATGGAGGAAGTTAGATAGATCTATCTGTTCAACATATTAAGGTCACAAATTTTGTAATTGTTCAGACATCCTGATTTCAAGCAGATACATTCTCCTTACCTGTACAGTTTGTTGTAATCTACACTGACGAGAAGCAGGATATTGTCTTTGCTTTGGTTAATAAACATTTCGTAAATTAAATATCTTTTATTTACGCCAATTAAATTATTAGTGAAGCAAATAAACATAATATTGTCTTTTCTAATGTTTCAGTTCCCATTAACCAGGACCATTCCACAAACCCACGTGGACCGTGCGAGATGGTCCTCCCAGAGGTTGGTCCAGGTGGCTGAAGACAAAGGGCCACACACACACGGAATTTAAACTTGAACACTGTTCAATAACTGAAAACTTATTATATGTAGTTCAAGTTCACATTTGGTATCGTTCTTATGGCTGTGCATTGCACTGTTAATTATTATAGATTGGCGCTTACATTCGTCACATTTAATAGAAAACATCTAATGGGTTATCCCGAATAAACATTCAGTCATTGAATAGCTTTGTGGGAGGGAGTTAGAAAATAACTTGAGAGTTAAACAATACCAACAGTTCTATGACCAGTGTTAAATTGGTTGTTTGATAGAAGCTATTCATATGAGTTAACTGTTTGTTTAGTGACGCGGGTTTGTCATAGAGACAGTTTAACTGATCTCACAAACCAAGACCTGACTGACGACTTAGCTCAGTCGACCCACACATACAGTAAACTACGTTTATAACGAACACGCTTATAACGAACTGTTCTTTTGGTCCCATCCATTTGCTGTATATATGTTGTAAATATGCTTATAACGAACTAAATTTAGTGGTCCCTTTGAGTTCGTTATAACCGTAGTTTACTGTACTTGACTCCATGGACAGCTACACACATTTGTCCACAAAATGGTCATTTGGCCTCTGTACACCTTATCAGTATTGTTAACCACGGTGCTTTCACGCATAGCGATAAATACAACAAAGTTGCAGTCATCTGCATAACATGTACACATGTATATTTGTAGAATATCAAATATATACTGTGAAACCTCGTTAATCCGGATCGTACCGTCCCCAGTAAAATCATCACGATCAAAGACTCGTAAGTGGGTTGGAGCGTCCTACTGAACTAAATATAGACGTTTCCGACAGTCATCTCACGGAATAAATGGTTTCCAGATTAAAGGGTACGGTATCACAGTTCGCTTAATCTCCGTATAACTGGAGCTTAAACTAGTACACAAGAAAAAAGGTTATTATTTGTGTATAAAGTCTGTGTGTAATTTCATGAGGGTGGTTCGGGATTGGGGACAATTACAGGTAGATTCTGTGTAATTATACATTGAGGTCCGACGTTTGTGTTCTTTTGGGGTTTTTTTCTTACGGATTTGGGGCCCAAAATTCAGGGTGAAGTGTTTGTTTTTAAGATTATCTTGTCAACAGGCTTATATATATAGATGTTTAATAAATTTAAAACTACTTTCCAGAGTGACTTTGATGAAATCTATGATATAATCATGGGGGAAATCGTGTATGAAAGGAGTTTAACAGCTTTTTAGCAATACCGATGTGAAGAACGCCTAGCCATTGTTACACTTTTTTCGTTATATGAAAAATATGGATTAAGAATCCGGCTAAAGTGACCGACCATTTCGTACTCAGGGGGGCAGCTGAGATTTTGTATATTGCGTAAATTGAAAAAATATTAACCTAAATAATAAAGCGAAAAAACATTTTTTGTGGCCATCAATTTTTATTTTTTAAGTCTGAACCATAATCATTTTTTCAAGAATTTTCTGGGACAAATCAAATGGCCGGTCCTAAAATAAGTAACATTACAAACAACGGTATTCTCATCGTTGTTGAATTGCATCTATTGTTGATCAAGGGATTACTAAAGTATTACTATTTGTAAACTGGCTTCTCACCCCCGTGATGAATATCATAGATTTCACATTTCCCCGATGTGGATTTTTATTTTATCCTTAATTAGAAAACATGTTCAGTACACATTTTCATTTGTTGTAATTTATATTGATTGATATGTACAGCTTAAAATAAAAAATTCAAATTCTATGGTGTCATTATGTTGAGGACGGCGGTTTGGTAACTCGTCGCACGTTCTGATTTAGGTGATGCCGGTGATTGTCTTCAGCTGGATTCATCGTCAGCATTAGGGTGGTCGGGTAGCCTAGTGGTTAAAGCGTTCGCTCGTCACGCCGAAGACCCGGGTTCGATTCCCGACATGGGTACAATGTGTGAAGCCAATTTCTGGTGTACCCAGCCGTGATATTGCTGGATTATTGCTTAAAGCGGCGTAAAACTATACTCACTCACTCTTCAACATAACCGTAGGACAGTGTCACACGTTCAGTTTTGTCTCTTCAATGTCCAATGTTGACACGAAGGCAAACATCATTTCAGAGATGACATGCATCAACCTCGTCAGCGAGCCTGACCACCCGATCCCGTTAATCGCCTCTTGCGACAATCATGGGTTGCAGAAGCAAATTCCGACCCTGATTTTCACAGGTCTCCAACAACACAGGCGACTAGCGGGACCGGGTGGTCAGGCTCACTGACTTGGTTGATGCATGTCATTGCACCCAAACTGCATAGATCGATGCCGGTGATGTCATTCACTGGATTGTCTGGACCAAACTCTATTATTTACAGACCTAGCTGTAATATTACTGAGTGTGGCGTTACATTTTTTTTAAATAATGTAAGTGTTTATGCAGAGCAGTCTGATTTATATTTTACAACATTAGGTGATTAGGCGCAAAGTAAACATAATGTATTTATGTTTTTGCGGAAAAACAATGTGTTTCATTTCCGACAGAATTTGAGACGTGACGTTTCCAGTAGTAACACGAGAGTTTGATAATCGATATTTGGTTCAAAGGACATGTGGCAATAGATTCCCCGTATGATGATCTTAGCTCTAAGAGTGTCGGTACAATCTGTATTTTCACCGCCGTTCCACACAGCCATCTAAGCGATACGACCGTGGAAAGTCACTGTTGAAGTATCGTCTTAATGCTAATATCGTTTTGTTGAAGAATATCGTTTCTTCAAAGAAATTATTTCTTTCAGTGTTGGGCATGATTATACGTTTGACAAAAAGTCATTACTGGTTTCAACCTGTTTCTGTTGCGTTTTGGAATTACAAGTTTATTGTCTGTTTTTTTGCTATAAGTTTATGACTCAAATTTGGCTATTATGAGTCTGATGTAGACCTTTGTTTAAGGTAAAGGTGTATATCCCTAATGTTAATTTGTTACTGTTGCATAGTGAAAAAGATAGCTTCCCCTCATTTTGCGACCACCTAATGTCTAGAATAAGTAAAGCAACCATGCGTATCGATTGAGAGAACACAAGCAGACAACATGGGTCGTCTCAATTATATATTAACTTTAGACTTCCAAAGAACTATTATATCATATACAGCTACCATCTTATATACTGGAAAATGCCATTAAATATAATTTCAAATATTTGTGCTCATCATATTCATATCAATTCTATAATTTTACGATCATCGCATGGTTCGAAGAACGATTATGCGCAAGGTCGTGACTCGACATTCACAAGTGCATTTGACGTTTCAGTGTTTATATACATGTCAGTATTTATATAATATCAACGATTACTTAGTACGTGGCCACTGCCATTTTAAATTTAGTCCATTCATTCACATCTTCAGTAAGCCTGGGTTGAGTGTACCACTAACTGCTGTGAGCTTTTGACATGACCCACGTGCTTGTATAAACACAGTAACTAGTATCCCCTTGCAGTGTGGTGGCCAAGTTAGGATAAATCTGATTGGTTAAGCCCGTGCCCCGGTCTACAATTATTACATTCAATATTATAAGTAGCACGAAGTCTTCATGAATTCAAAGCATTCCTCGTGTCCATTAAGATACCTCGGATTGGATTCTCTCGGCGTTAGCTTTCCTCTATCTTCATCACGACGGGGCGGTCGGGTAGCCTAGCGGTTAACGCGTTCGCTCGTCAGGCCGGAGACCCGGGTTCGATTCCTCACATGGGTACAATGTGTGAAGCCCATTTCTGGTGCGTGATATTGCTGGAATATTGCTAAAAGCGGCGTAAAACTATACTCACTCATTCACTCTTCATCACGAATGGCTGTGGATATGAAAGTGGCTACAACTGTTAAATATTGTTGGGAGTTGAAATGTTTGGAATGAAGCCGGGTACAAGTTGACTCATTTCAGATGTTGGGCATTTAACTTGGACTTCTTCAATGTCTCCGGCTGACGGGTTGATGAAGGCTCAACGTTTCATTGACTTCACTCGACTCGGTAGAATTTTGTCAAGGTGTGATGCTGCCATTGTGCCATACTTCCTGTCAACGGAGATTTTATTCCGTGGTATTGATATTCCATCTGCAGAGGACTTGTATGACCAAAGGTAATATTGTGTCGTTCTTTATATGTATATGAGGCACGGGTGGCCCAGTCGTTTAAGGCGCTGCAATTCGCTGTGCAGAGTTGCGTCCCTTGGGCACGCCAGAAACCTGTAATTGTAGGTTCGAATCTCGGTTCGTTACTATTGTTTCTAGGTTTGTCAGCACCATACCCGTGTTTGTGGATTTTTCCCAGTGGTAAATGTCTGAAACCTGCATCACTTGGGGCTTACCGCCCACAATTAAGCTGATACGCCGTGATATAAATGGAATACTGTTCAAAGCGGCGTTAAACCTAACTCGCTCACATACATGAAAACCGCGAACCCAGTCGTCTGTTCGCTGTAACTCATGAACGTGTGTGGACCCATTTAACCTACAATGGGTTTAAGTGTACAGTAGACGTATGTGATCACATGACACTACCATTATGAAAACTGGTTTAAGGTCTCTATAAACGTGTGTTCGATTCCCCGATTCTACCTCATTATGAGTCTAGGATAATTGAAAACATTTTTCCTTGTGAAAGTTAACTTGAATAAGAAATGAATAATCATATTTGCCCCCCTCCCAATTGCGTGGATCGATGCTCATGTTGTCCGTCACTGGATTGTCTGGTCCAGACTCGATTATGTACAGACCGCCGTCATATAGCTGTAATATTGCGGCGTTAAACAACAAACAAACAAGCAAAAGAAGAAAACAATCATTCTAAGAACCAACTACGTCAGACTCAACCCCCAACTATTTTATATTGCTACAATCAATGGCCCCTCACTTGATGAACTTATGCGCATGACACGGCATCTGATGTGGATCTATTTTTAGAATTCTCGGCTTTTCCAGTCTGATCACGGAAAGTTACCGGTCACAGTGACCTGGCTTATATTACCAAGGGCGTTTTGTGACCTACTCAACCGGCTGTGCATTATATAAGAGACCTTATACCGACATACAGTATATGTTGCGGTATATGGTCCCTGGTTATATAAAATTGACCGTAGAAGATTGTTGTGAGACTGTCACGTCATTGTGTTAAATATATATACATTGATCCTAGGTGTGGTCACGTGTTAAGTCACAAAGATGGTATTGACATTTCACCCACCCTTTACGTTTCAACTACACGTTCAGTGGCCCATCCCACATCATTCATGGGCTTGGCTCAAACTGTAAACAACATGTTTTCGAATTACCGTCGGTATGCAAAGGTACACACATTACTAAAACTAACAAACTAACTTTTGTCCGAGAAATAAAGTTTTTTAAAATTTAAAATATGTATCTTTAAAATAAAAACTAAAATCCAAACTGAACTCAGCCTGAACATGCTTAATTTCAGAACTGAGGCAATCTAGACTTGCCAAATCATTCTTGACTGGATTCGCTTACAAATGTATTCTCTATAGGGCCAGGGGGACATACAACAGTAAACTACGTTTATAACGAACACGCTTATAACGAACTGACCGATATAACGAACTTATTTTTTAGTCCCGACTATTTGTTGTATAAATGTTGTTTATATGCTTATAACGAACTACGGTTATTACGAACTAAAAATAGTGGTCCCTTCGAGTTCGTTATATGGTACATATAGCTTGAAGCTTAACCGATGTCATGATTTGTTGTGGATATAAGTTTTGGTCTTATATGAGCGCATTTTAAAACCAAATAAAACACCGAGGACTTATTCATAATCGTTTCTCCTTTGTTTCTCCTGAGTGAGAATCGTGTAACGCCGCTTTGAACAATATTTCAGTTATATGACGGTACCTCAGCTTGATGTGGGAGGAAAGCCCGAAGTGATGCAAGTCTAAGAAAAATAATCAGGGCAAACTCAGGGAACTCGAACCCGCCAGCACAGTTTCTGTATGCCTCTGAGAGGCAACTCTGTACAGCGAAAAAAATCGGACGACTAACTAACCACATTTACTGGGAATATGGTACAAACCGGCAATATATAGGAACACGAATTTTTCAACCATCGATTAGGGGAAAACGTAAGAATGTAAGATTGAACATAGAGTATCTCAACTTGTTTACCGAACTGCTGGAGAGGGATTTCTTCGCCCAGACTTGTCAACTCTGTTCCATTACAGCTGAATGCACGTACCATTGACAAAAAACACATATATCGGCGTGAGGCGTTTATGGAGGATGGAGCACTACAAGCAACACCCACCCTGGAAGTACATGTACCGGCAACCATCGTCAGGAACAACAATCAACGCCACTAGCACCAACTCCAGTCAAGCTAAGTAATTTACCCCCGTATCTGCTACCATATTCCAGTGTAAATGTTTCCTGCATTAAATTTGTTTGATGGATTCCAATCTGGTTTTCGCCTAGTTTATCAGGGACTCCGCCTGTAGCGATCTGCGGGTCACTTGTCGGTGTGGGAACCTCAGTCACAATCCATAGCCGAGTCCAAGCTGGACAAAGAGACCTTGCATTCGTCACCGTTCGCCCCTTTCCGTAACCCGCAAGAAGACTCGTCCCCCTATCGATGAATGACAAACCAATCAGAATACGCGCACGATTTCAAGTTCTTCGTCAAAGAATCCCTCAGAAATAATTTTTGATTTTACATACATCTTGCATCTAAAGATATACCCAAGACACATTTACATGTGTTCAATCGTACTGTATAATTCCGCATGTCCCAATGTGCTTTAAATTGCATCTGAAATATATATAATATATGGGGAAATATATGTTAACCATTAGACAACGAGTTGACAATTGTTTTAGGTATTCCCGTTTGCGCTAAGACGGAACCCGTTTAGAAAAATTGCCATGAGAGGGGCACGAGTCGCTATTCGGCTTGTCCCGGAATAACACGAGTTGGTCACGAATGAGAGACCTTGTTAGGTGGGATTGCTCGGCCCTACTACGACCCACCCTTCGAATATTTGCAAGTGTCGCCGATTGGCTTGGTCCTAAAGAAGCAAAACATCACATCCGCCGATAGGCACCTTGTGGATAACTGTAGGTTAATCCACCATCTGCATTACGTTTCTGGGTCTCGAGATCGATACGATAGCTATGCAGGTCCGCTTATCACAAGAAATAAACGGCGACGTTACCATGGAACTCGGGGGCTTGACTGAAGCAGGTATAAATAAGTACACAAAGCACCAGTTGCAGTCAACGATGGGTAAATCCAACGTTACAAGCAGCGCTATACCGATGGGTCGTGCATTCTACCGCAGACCTATTGACGAGATGTGCAAGGTAAAATCGCTGCATCTTCGAATCCACGGTTGGTACAACAGGACCTATGTGGTTAACATTCCTGTCGGGTTTCAAAGGTATGTGACCGCCTCCGCGCTCTCGTGGTAGAGCGTCCGCCCGGAGAGCGGAAGGTCCGGGGTTCGATCCCCAGCCGCGTCATACCAAAAGACGTTAAAAGATGGTACTTGTTGTTACCCTGTCTGGCGCTCGGCATTAAGGGGCTAAAACAAGGACTGGTCGCTCGGAGTCAGCATGCTGTGTCTGAGTGGGGTATTCATGTTAAACTGCGGCATGGTATCTCAGTGTGCTAGCACTATATAAATCGGCATCAGTCCAGACTAGTACAAGCAGCCACACACACACACACGTGCATGCACGTCGCTATATAAGTGCAATAATCTTGGACGCGACGTTAAACCCCATTTCACCTCACCTCACCTCAAAGGTATGTCAGTGTTTCAGGAAAGTGAGTGGGACGACAATAAAACCCTGCAGCTATGCACGGATGCTGCTTGCAGTGCAGGCTTTGGTGCATATTTTCAAGGACACTGGGTCTCAGGCAAGTGGTCCCGTCATTGAGTTGAGGACGGTACCACTCGGGATATGACATTACTGGAGCTATTTCCAAATTGCGTTGTCTATTCGAATGTTGGGTAAGTCTTTGGCTAACATAAACGTCTTCATCTTCCCGAGGCAAGGGAGTTGTGCTGGCAATTCAAATTGCCCATTTAACTACCTTTGCTAAACTACCCACAAGTCCTGCCTCACCTAGACCTGAACCAAATATTTTCCCACCTATTTAGTTGTGTCCTTTCAGGCCGGTTCGAAGAGGGTGTGTTTCAAATAAAGCTGGAATATTGTTGACTGCCGCGTTAAACAACGAACAAACAAACACAAAATCTTCTGATGGCGTGAACTATATTTGATTGTGTGTCTGATCAGAATAGAAATGATAGATAAATCTAACGTGGATGTTACAACTGAATTATTTTCAATGTTTCAAACATCTATACGTTTTTTCATCTCATGACTCTCACAGGAAATATTATTTGTCTTCATTCTCACTTTTTATGCGAAAAGGTCGCGATATAATGTCCATACCGTTCACACCCAGGGCTCCGCTTCCAACCGGGAACACGTACACCCTGTCACCATTGGCACGACAGGTCGGGCGATTGGGTAGCCTAGCGGTTACAGCCTTCGCCCGTCACGCCGAAGACCCGGGTTTCGATTCCCAAAATGGGTACAATGGGTGAAGCAGTGATAATACTGAATAAAACTTTCATCTACGTAATAATACTTCATCTACGTAAAGGAAACTTTCATCTACGTAAATAATACTTTCATCAACGTAAATGAAACTTTCATCTACGTAAATGATACTTTCATCTGCGTAGAAGATGAAAAGTCAAACAAATCGGTCATTATTAATTAAGCCAGGGATTATATACTGACCCGGAACTAGTGTCGCTTACTTGAAAAAATAATGTAAAAGTACCTTCTATGTAGATGTGATTAGTGTCTTCTACGTAGATGAAATTATCCTCTACGTACATTATACTGTCATCTACGTAGACGATACCTTTTTAGACTGTGGCACTAATACGTATTCATAGATATTTCTAAAGTGGAACCGGCGAAGCTGTCTCCAATATAAATTGGCTCATTTTATTCTCAAAGTTCAGGAGTATTGGACACGCGAAACAAATGCTAAAAAGCATGAAAAGGTACACTCTTGTATTCTTGTATTTGTTATAATGTTCTCTAAATGTCGTTCACAGAGAGTAAAGGTGAATAGTATCAAGGAAGGACTTTCTTTATATTAACAGAAAGTATTTGAGACAAGTGGAATTAATTTCAAATTCTATGGTGTCATTATGTTGAGGACGGCGGTTTGGTAACTCGTCGCACGTTCTGATTTAGGTGATGCCGGTGATTGTCTTCAGCTGGATTCATCGTCAGCATTAGGGCGGTCGGGTAGCCTAGCGGTTACAGCCTTCGCCCGTCACGCCGAAGACCCGGGTTTCGATTCCCAAAATGGGTACAATGGGTGAAGCAGTGATAATACTGGACAATTGCTAAAAGCGGCGTAAAATCATACTCCCTCACTCACTGACACGACAGGTAAGTTATACGATAGCGGTTTCATCAATAGCTGCTGTTATCTATCAATCATTCCATATCATGATAACGGTGTGTATACGTGTACTGGTCGCAAAGGCTTGTTAAGTAGTAATCAATTGTTGGTTCGTCGAGATAAGCGTCGAATATGCATGGTACTTTAAATTTATATATATCTATGTCTTGTTTATCATATAATAGATAGGGTTTATCTTGCAATAGATAGTGTTACACGTGTAGTGAAATATTAATAAACATGACGTCCTGAGCCGATTAGAATGAAAATGGAGTCACCTGATAGGAACTACTTTTAGTAAACTTTTTACATCAGTGTATTGCATAAACTATTGCGTAACATTCACAAGAAGGTTTGGATAAGGGCTTTGCTTTATACTGTCCTGTCAACGCTCATGATTGAAAAAATCTTTGGTATAATAATTTTTCATTAATGGGTAGGTCACCTTTAGCAGTGTATTCATACACGGTTTCTCATGTACTTCAGTACATAACGCCATCTTAAACATTGATTATCATATAATAACGAGAGTATTACCCGCGTTTGTTCCTGCTTCATAAGTATTACATCAAGCAAATAACAAAATATGTAATATGCTCGCATACTTGTTCCTGATACGTATTCTTTATGCTACGGAAAGATTTAGTAAGTATTTTATATATGGTATGCAGTTCACGATTCTGGTGCGCCCTATGTATCAACGTATGATAATCACGTGTCATATGTCGACCCTTATCAGGCAGGTTATAGTTACAACTCAGTTTCATGTTTGTTCAAAGGGCAGGGGACACTATGTGGAGATATTTATAGAAGCGTATTAGTGCCACAGTCTAAATTATTTTTATCATCTACGTAAATGATACTTTCATCAACGTAAATGAAACTTTCATCTACGTTAATAATATTTTCATCGACGTAAATGAAACTTTCATCTACGTAAATAATACTTTCATCAACGTAAATGAAACTTTCTTCTACGTAAATAATACTTTCATCAACGTAAATGAAACTTTCATCTACGTAAATAATACTTTCGTCAACGTAAATGAAACTTTCATCTACGTAAATAATACTTTCATCAACGTAAATGAAACTTTCATCTACGTAAATAATACTTTCATCAACGTAAATGAAACTTTCATCTGCGTAGAAGATGAAAAGTCAAACAAATCGGTCATTATTAATTAAACCAGGGATTATATACTGACCCGGAACTATTTCGCTTACTTGAAAGAATAGTGTAAAAGTTCCTTCTATGTAGATGTGATTAGTGTCTTCTACGTAGATGAAATTATCCTCTACGTACATTATACTGTCATCTACGTAGACGATACTTTTTTTAGACTGTGGCACTAATACGTATTCATAGATATTTCTAAAGTGGAACCGGCGAAGCTGTCTTCGATATAAATTGGCTCATTTAATTCTCAAAGTTCAGGAGTATCCGTGACACGCGAAACAAATGCTAAAAAGCATGAAAAGGTACACTCTTGTATTCTTGTATTTGTTATAATGTTCTCTAAAGGTCGTTCACAGAGAGTAAAGGTGAATAGTATCAAGGAAGGACTTTCTTTATATTAACAGAAGGTATTTTAGACAAGTGGAATTAATACCATCTGGAGTCGCAAAACCTCAAAGTGAGTGAGTGAGTTGGGTGTAACGCCGCTTTTAACAATATTACAGTTATATCACGGCGTGTGGGCTTAATGTGGGAGGAAAGCCCGAAGTGATGCAGGTCTCAGACGTTTACCACTTCGGTGAAATCCACGAACACAGGTATGGTGCTGACAAACCTAGAAACCCACAATCATAGGTTTCTGGCGTGCCCAAGGGACGCAACTCTGCACAGCGAACCGCGACGCCTCAGACGACTGGGCCACCCGCGCTCTCCTTATAATGAAACAAGGAGACTTCAGTCCACCAGCGGAAATATCGACCAGTTCAAGTCAATGGATCGTTTAAGAAATACGATCGTGTGTGGGGGGTGCAGCATGAGTTGGAGATATAGGGCTTATTCAAAACTTAACGGTTGAGGGTCTACTTGTAACCACATGTCGCATTCAGTGGGTATTCCCACAAGCAATATGTGTCAAGGTCATGTTGTGTTGACGTGGAATAAGCAGTTGTCTGCACAGCGCATTGCGGCGCCTTAGACAACAGGGCCACCCGTGCCCCCTCAAAACCTCAAAGGATTTCCTTGAATTGCTGCAGTCTCAGAAAAGAACCAAGTTCAATTCTGTCAAAACGTTTGATCTTTCTACTTCCTAAACTTCTATCCCACAAAACAAACTTAAAGAAAAACTTTATTCCTTGATCCATGGGGCATTTATAACTAAAAAACGCGGTGACCATAGATAAAGTGACGTATCTATATTCAGAGGTTCAGGACAATTTGTGACAAATGAAAGCAAATGTCATCTGAAGGTAACTGAGAAAACAATATGTGAAATGCTGGACTGATAACATCTGTGTAAATTTTCGGGGTAAGACATTGAGGCAAGACGTAAGCATCCACATATGCACCAACTGTTCTCCCCTTCCTGCTGATATGTTTCTTTGTAGAGGGGAATGTCCGAGTAACTCTCCATTCCTTAAAAATAATGGATCAGAGGCCCATTATTTTTAAGGAATGGAGAGTTACGAGGATATTCCCCTACTTAAAACTCATCCCTACTTTAACACTTTGACAAAATATTCTGTAGTTGAAAATATTTGAAAAATTCAAATGCTGCTTCAAGATAATGTACAGTTGACAAGAAACTCTCCATTCCTGAAAAATAATGGAGCGTTCAAACAATAGAATGACGTCACAGATGTGTTTTAAATGCAATTGAGTACTAGAAAAAAATGAGTACTAGATAATGGAAGTAACTACTTTTTTCGTTTATTTTAGTTTCTTTTCAAACTTTCAAACACGATTTCAAACTTAGCCCTTACATGCCTACATGGTTAGAGGTTACTTGTGCTTTGTTCTGTTAGTAAAGTCCAGGTAAGGAAGTTACTCAACAAACTAAGTCACTTGCTTGATAACGGTGTTAGAACCTACACCGAAACGTCGCTTCTAATTGTAATAAAGAAGTTGTTCATCGATGAATCTTATCCTTACTTATCTTTTCAAAATTTGCTGCGAAAGCTAGATTATAAATATTAATGAAACGGGATGTTTACCATTGAATATTACACACAGACAGACAAAAAAAACATTCTACATATCTTACATATTATATTCAGTTATTAATTCCTTCAGCAAATAAAACGTACAGCGTACCTACGAAACCAATTTAATCTTGTAGTAACCAAATTTATAAGGACTACAAAAATCCGTCATTCATGATAGCAGTTTATATGTGGAGTCAACTTTAATCAGTTGTAAAAGGAGCATGTTGATGAGAAAGTAAATATTCTACATACAAGGCTCAACATGTGAAGATCTTAATTTACAGCAAGATCGGGTGGTCAGGATCGCTGCTTTGGTTGTTGCATGTCATCGTATCCCAATTGCGTGGATCGATGTTCATGATATCAATCACTGGATTGTCTGGTCCAGATTCGATTATTTACAGACCACCGTCATATAGCTGGAATATTGCTGAGTGTGACGTTAACTAACCCCCCCCCCCCCCAAAAAAAAAAGAAGTAAGAAAAGAAAAAAATACCTCGCCTGTATACATACTGGATGCTTGTCGTTTCTACTTTTACCAGGAGTGAGTGAGATGCTTTTAACGCCGCTTTGAACAATATCTCAGTTATATGACGGCATATCAGCTTGGTGATAAACACAGTTTCTGTATGCCTCCGAGGGGCAACTCTGTACAGCGACTCAATTTGACGACAAACAAACCCACCCCAACCACATGTACTGGGAATGTTGTATAAACCGGCAATAGAAACACGAATTTTCCAAAACGCGATGACCCTCGAATTACCGAAAGTATGTAAGACTGAACAAAGCGTATCATAACTTGAGATCGGGTGTTGAATTAGTTCTTTTCAAAACCAACCATGCACGCCAAGTCTGGCGCTTTTTGTGTACATAGATACTGGTCAGTCCTCTACAAGGAAGTAAATTTGAATTTCTTAACCCACTATAACGTAGTAAGGACCTACAAGACTCAACATGTCGACTTATTCAAATTCAAATTTTTCAGAAAATCATATATGCAATTCGACTCTGAAAGTGTTTTACGTCATTTCCTCAAATGTGATTACATTGATCTCGTCGATTTAATTGTTTTTAATTTGGCATACAATTTGATCTTAATAGTATTCTTTAAACTCAGACGAGAGTGTCATACACTTCCTTTTTGAAGCTGTACAAAATATATTCAGTCGACTAACGGATTTACAACTACTTCATGTCTTACTCAATATTTAAGTTTGATGTGAATAATACGGTTGATTGCATCTATTAACATGTTGATCATTCTGTACTTTTGTAAAGGAAGGGATCAAGTAAGGGCAATCATTCCACATCATGAATACGCTGTATATACGTGTACTGTTCGCAAAGGTTGTTAAGATAAGAGTAAAGTATGCATGCTACTTTGAATTAACACCTCTTATCTGAGGGACTTGAGGTGAACCGTATTTCTTTGCATGTGTTATCATTATAACCTTTAGATTGGCATATATTGTTTATCATCATGTAAATAGAGGTTATCACGCGAGTGTGTTTGGGGATGGTAAATATCCTGCATTAGGAATAAACATTGTATTTAGCGAGCCTTGGCGAGTGTTTATGTGTTTATGTCCCTAGTTGACTTACTTGACCTTCGATATATGCATCTCTATCCGAATATGACCCCAACGGATATCGTTTATATCCGTTGGCTTTATCCTGCCGAGAAACCTACCCATTATATGATAATAGATAGTATTAGCCATGTGATAAAACATGCCACAAACATCAGATAAATATGCTAACTGGTCTGCTAGCAGGAAAGTTTGCTTTTAGTAAACTCGTTTTTTCAACTTGGTCAAAAAACTAATGCGTTACGTTCAAAATAAGTATGGGTAAGGGATTTGTGGTGTGTGCTGTTCTGTCACGTGGATAAAACATCTTTACCACTCTAGGTTATCTTTTCAGGGGTTCGCTAGTATTGTATTCATACGCAAAAGAAGTAAGAAAAACTGATACCTTTCCTAAGAAATAATTATTATGGTTATATGTATAGTTCATATTTTAATCTATTGGAAAGATGTGAAGATTCTCAACACTGAAAACATGCACCTTATTACTGTTGTCCCCTGCTTCCGCGCATATGTCCCTAACATTGTCACGTATACGTAGATACTCGCCTGCATGTACACCCTTTGCATCAATATTATCCCATTGATATCCTTTGTTTGAGGCTTTTTTCCTTTGATGTTTTCGAGCAGTTATGTTATAAGTATTTAACTGTCTTTTTGGTGTATCCAAGTGCATTCTGCGCGCGTGAGGCTTCCGAATGGATTATCTATCGATCCGCAATGAAGTAACTGAGTAACGCACGGTGGGGAAAGCATTAGTTATCAAACTAACGGCTCAAGAAAATCAAAGGAAACGCCACTCGCAAAGTTTTGAATACACGCGGGGAAAAAGTACAGGATTGGTCAACGCCAAACTGGTTAAAAGTCCGGTTTGAACTCGCCTTACAACAGACCACTGCTTATTCCACGTCAACACAACATGACCTTGACACATATTGCTTGTGGGAATACCCACTGAATGCGACATGTGGTTACAAGTAGACCCTCAACCGTTAAGTTTTGAATAAGCCCTATATCTCCAACTCATCATCCACCTCCCAAACACGATCGTATTTCTTAAACGATGCATTGACTTGAACTGGTCGATATTTCTGCTGGTGGACTGAAGTCTCCTAGTTTCATTATAAGGAGAGCGCGGGTGGCCCAGTCGTCTGAGGCGTCGCGGTTCGCTGTGCAGAGTTGCGTCCCTTGGGTACGCCAGAAACCTATGATTGTGGGTTCGAATCCCGGTTCACCCAGATTATGTTTTTAGGTTGGACATTGTCAGCACCATACCTGTGCTCGTGAGTTTCACCGAAGTGGTAAACGTCTGAGACCTGCATCACTTCGAGCTTTCCTTCCACACCAACATGACACGCCGTGAAATAACTGTTCTTGTCTAATATCTGGCGTTTACCTTTATATTTGACGTTGTGTTAAGGATTATTGCACTTGTATAACGCTGCACGTGTGTGTGGCTGCTTGTGCTTGTCCGGACTAATACCGGTTTAATAGTGCTAGTCCTCACAGTATACTGACTCCAAGCTGAACAGTCCTTATTCATCCCATAATGCTAAGCGCCAGACAGGGTAACAACAAGTAGCATCTTTATCTTTTAACGTCTTTTGGTATGACGCGATCGGGGATCGAACTCACGACCTTCTACTCCACAAATGTGTTTTTTATTTTAACATGATACACACACGTAAAAACCACTTGTTGAAAACGCAACATTGTTCAATGGACTGACAAGATGAACATGTAGCAGCATGAATAAAAAAAAGTCACGTAAACTTTATTTTCCCCTCCATGTTACTGAACGTTAAATATGAATAAACCCATGGTGGGTTTGGTGAGTCTACCTATGGTACACATGTGGTGGACATTTCCAAATTTGACGCCTCAGTGACAAAAAATTATGTCCGATGCAATTCCCTATTTTGACTTGTACTATCTGTTCCCGTGTTTTTTTAGGTGAACAGTTGACATGCCTTTGCAGGTGTACTGTGACGGGTGCCACCGATGGGGCAGGATACGCTCACCTTGTCGCGAACACCTGGTATCATTACTATTTGATAGTGATTCATAGACACATGCTCACGATATAATCGGAATAGTACAATCGACTCTGCTTTCTGGAGAGATTTCTATTTGATATGGAAAGGGTTTTGGCACTTTATTTATTTGAATAGCTGGATCAGTGCTTACTACGCTCTACTAAATGGTTTTTGTTCAACTATACATCGTTTTCATTTAATAGAAATATTTTGCCATTTGGCCCATTGAAGATATGTTTGGCGTTCTTCCAGTGTTGGACATTAGTCCAGATGTAACAGTTATACCTGTATGTACTTTCAACGTCACCTAACGCAATCATTCTCAATCAACCACATACCTATTCAGCCATATGAATTACACATGCCCATTTGTCTGTACCAATATGTTCTATATAAAGCAGGTGTTCATGTGTATAGACAATGGAATAGGGTGTGAATTCTCATAGCATTCGATTAAACATTGATCATACGAGGGCGGTTCTTCCAATGGTACTCTTTGATTCACGGATCAGTTACATTTCAGAACGAAATGACTTGAATGCCCATTGGGGCAATGCATTGAATTTGTCTCTTTGCAGTCGTTGGGTATTGTAATGTGACATTCAAATGAAAACCATTCTAGCAGAAACTGACGCAATGTTCAAAAATAGTTTTCAATGCATAATGCTACAACAGGTGTTATATGGCAGTGTATTTTATTGTTTAACAATGTTTGTGTTGAGATTTGGTAGACGCTCATTGCATTGTGTTTGGACAGTGATTAGTCGTCAGGAGTGTAGTACTATTTAATGTAAGCAGTCGTCAGGAAGTTACTATATAGTGATGTGTCACGCGCTGGGAAGGAGCTTGGGTGGTGTGGTGTGTAGACTTCCGGTTCGGTATACCGCGGACGGTGATAGTATGTTATAGAAACATGCGGTATGTTCAAGTGCCTCTAGACTGGTGAGGGCACTATGTAGAGATGTCCAGTAGCTTATCTATCCTGTATATATAGTGGGACAAGAGCGTGTTTACGCATATCTCTATATCGCATCGGAACCAGCTTTCGTTTGTGGATCACTCATCTCCTCTGAATCCCTGCCAAGACCCGTCTCGGAAGCTTGACCGCTGTCGGAATATATATTATTATCACTGACATTTGCTATCACCACTGTATGTTTGTATTTGATACTGACCACTACCATCATATTATACTACATATTGCCATTGAATATTATTCCACCACTCTATAGTGTACTGCCTTTGTAATTGCTGTGCAGTAATTTGTGTTGATTTGTGAACCTTGTTAAATTTGTAATACATTTGTTGATTGTATACAACTTTTGGGTTTTACACTAAGTTCTTTTACGTACAAATTTCGTAACATGTTGTTTCAATTCGGTAATTACACGTTACACAGACATATGACTCGACTGAAAGACTTTGTTCATCCTTTTCTTCTTTGACAAGATTAATATAATTACATTCACAAATAGGTATTCTCTTTCAGGCAAATATTTGTACAAGTATTACTTGTCCCCAACAAGTGCAACTGCACCCACCCCCCACCCCGGCTGGCTACGGCACTGTTCTATATAGTAGGGTTTTTCATTAGATAGGCACAAGCCACGACAAACATATTGTACAATGGCAACCATCAGAGCGTGTGGAATCTGTTGGCTGAACATCGTCTGCCACTTGTTCACTATAACCGTCGGAGACTCCGTACTCACTACAATACCCTGCATACTCCTTCTTCAGGGATATGATGACCGTGTGTGTGTGTTTGCATGCATGTGTGTGTGTGTGTGCGTGTGTGCGTGTGTGTGTGGTATTATAGTGCGAGCTCACATGCCGCAGTATAACACGAATACCCCGCCCAGACACAGTATACTGACTCCAAGCCTACCAGTCCTTCTTTTATCCCTTTAATGCCGAGCGCCAGGCAGGGTAACAACAAGTTACGTCTTTTGGTATGACGCAAACAGTGATCAAAGCACCGACATTCCGCGATCTGGGCAGACGCTCTATCAAGTTGACAACGGAGGCGGTTTGATCCAGTTCTGACTATGGGCTAGGGTTTATGTGAGATCGAACAATATCTCCTTGGAGATATTGCTTTCCAGATCACTCTTTACACTTGGTAAAGTGTAAAATCAACTGAAAATAAAACATGTCATACAATCAACTTCATGAGTGGTATAGCTTCTTCTGTTCCTCTGTTTACTGTTGACTTGGTTGATGCATGTCATCGATCCCAATTGCGTGGATCGATGCTCATGATATCAATCACTGGATTGTCTGGTCCAGACTCGATTATTTACAGACCGCCGTCATATAGCTGGAATATTGCTGAGTGCGGCGTTAAACAACAAACCAACCAACCGTCGTATGGTTTTAGTGAGGCGTATTGTTGTGAGGTGTAAGGCAACGCTAACTATTCATGCAAATTGTGTGAGTGCCGGGTGCTACCGGTAGAGCAGGACAAGATTTGCCTTTTCGCGAAAACCCGGTGTCATCACTGATTTTTAGTGATCCATTCATACAAAGTTCCCCACTATTCTGCCTCTTGCTCCCAGTAGAGTCTGTTTCGTCGGATAATCGAGACGGTGTTGACGTTCATATATACTGTGTCTGTGTGAGGTATCGATGTTAAACTGCGGCATGGTATCTCAGGTGGCTGGCACTTTGAAACCGGCATTAGTCCGGATTAGCACGTGCCCGTCGCTATATAAATGAAATAATCTTGAACGCGATGTTGTGTTTGCTGTTCAACTACATACAACTACATTCGATTATTTATAGACCGCCGTCATATAGCTGGAATATTGCTGAGTGCAGCGTTAAACAACAAACCAACCAACTACCAACCTCGGCGGGATACGACCTTCACGCTGCGTCCTGTACTTGGAGATTGTGGACGTCACCTTTATTTGTACTTGGTTTATCTGTACATTATTATGATAAAATTGTACCAAGTTCGTTGTAGATCCTGGAGGTATGTGCGTTATGCATGTGCCTGATTTCAATATACATTATACATCTTTTCCATATTTGACTTAATGCCTAATTATATTTACTTTATTTAAATATGTTTAAATTCAAAATTGGGGATATACACAATGATATGCATTTTATCATAAACAAGTTTACATTCGAAACATGTTTAAAATCTAAATTCTAAACATGTTTTACTTCTAAGCATGGTTGGAATATGGGGATGTTTTAGATTTTTAGGTGGTGTTTAGGCTGTGAGACGATAGTTTGTTTTCATACGTTTAGACCCAAAACGTGTCCAGACAGAAGACACCAAATATGTATTCCGTTTAGGATTTAAATACATTCCTGCACATGCTTAGATCTAAACATGTCTTGTATGTGTTTACATTCTAAACAAATTTCGTGCAGTGTATGTTGACGAAACACATATTTATTAACTTCTTGATATATATCAGACGGAAAGGGATTTTCATGATGCAAAAAATAGCTGCTCCATGTGATGTGCGTGTGAAATGTTCGTGGATATATTTATAGCTTCATGATCCGCGTTATAAATGTCACGAGAGTTCTAATCAGAAATAGATTAGGTTGTCAAACCGGGTAACGAGGCCTTGGTGAAACCATGTTTTGCCTTATTGACTACCAACACGGACACTTTATCTAGAATACAGACGTAAACATTGCATGGTAACCAATATGCAACGAAAGTCTGTGTTGTGCAAGATAATATTTATACAAAGACAGTGCAGAGTAATTCATTAGCACGTTGCAGAGTGACAGTCTCTTCAATCTTCATTCTGCCTCTGAATCAGTTAACAATGTCATATCTTGAACATGTGTCGTTAACGTTTCAAATGTATAACGATCTGCGCAAACCTTTTAAAAGTATAACGATCTGCGCACGTTCAGCTTCCCAAATTCGGATGTTGGCTGCATAACTCTCCAACAAGGAACAATGCTATGTGACCAACATTAGGCGAGCTCCTGCCTTGTTTTCTCAAATAAATCAAATTATGATTCATAACAATATACCATGGAAAGTCCAAAGAGAATAATGTCAGGATAAATCCCTAAATATCGATATATTATTTGGTTTCGTGTTTTTATAGTATTACCGGATATACATTTACCCCGACGCGAAATAGATGTAGCCTAAATGCATGAAAATAGGTAACATGATCATTAACGTTCAAAACGATGGCTAATGCACAGGTACGTTTGATTTTCATCGACTCTGTTCGTGGCGGCAAGCATCTTTACTACAGTGGTCATAAGTATCGTATTAACAAGAAGACTGATGAGAAGACTTATTGGAAATACATGCATGATATATGATATGTTATACTATACTTGTTATATACTGACTTTGTTGCCCAGATTAAATAGTGTCCTCATTTCATTGGTGTTTTCTTTGTAATTAACAAGTACCGGGAAGGCGATCATCTGCCATAATAAGAATTTTTGTGATTACCGGGAAGGCGAACGTAATTTCTAACTCTGAGGGATTGATTTTCGCCTTCCCGGCCCATAACCAGTATGTCAATGGGTATTTTGCGACTGGCATCCGGAATATTTAACCATATAGCTTCGATTCTTACCCGGATTGTAACTACGTGGTTAAAACTCAATGATGACGTTTATCGCTAGAAAAATGAATATTTCTTAAAAAACGCACTTCGCAATTGTCTGAAAGTAATATTCCTTATCAGCTGAATGGCTTATTTTTACTCAATAAGTATTGATTGATCCTCGCGATATTACGTCATTCAGAGAGGGTGACGCATTGCACGGTTGTTTTCTTGTATGAAAAGGACATAAAACGCGACAGGGACATTAATGATGATACCATGAAAATAAGAATCGAAGACTTGATGACTAAGTTACGATTCTGGCCATTTACGACCACACGATGTAAGATATGAAAATATGTGACAAAACCCCGGAAAATTGATAAATATATGTCAGTAATCATTACAATGATCTCATGTTTATGTAATACCATACTCGTGCTTTGCTTTCACCACGTCATTAAACCCTCTCCTACACATGCTCTTCGTAAAAATAGACTTTGTAAAATACATAGATAGAGAATATGTACAGAGTATTAAAACAGTATTAACAGTCATCTTAGAATGTTGAATCATAAGTACGTGAATGAAACCGAAAGAAAGATTATGGCTTAAAGGAAGGTGTCACTATGTAAATCCATAGCCCTAAGCCGCCCCGTCTAACACCCGACTGTCTGACACCATACTCGTGTTCCGAGTCTGACACCCAGCATTCTGAGCCACGTGCATATAGATAGATAGATAGATAGATACGGTTGGGTCAACTAATGCCTACTGCGTTATACAAACCCATTTATGACTCAATGACTTGTCTTAGCAACTGCCTTCAACCTTGAAATAAAAGTGGTATAGCCCTTCATGTTATTGTAGACATATGCCTACATTTACACTTTTCATTTTTTGGTATTTCTGTCACCATTTCAGACACTCAGTATCAAATATAAGATTTCGCGAGAATTCAAATTTTTATTTTGTTTACTGTTAAGTTATCATCACAGGTTATAAATGTAGATACATGTATCTATATTGTGTAATATTTTATCAAATGTTTCTCATTGAGAAGAATGCGAAAACGTAGTATACATTTATTGTCCCTTTAATACATATCTTTATGTCATATGTCACTAAATTTATCACACATGCGACAGTTATAATCACTAGGATAACTTGACTAAATGTCCAGCAGAACTAAGGAATTCAAGAGGAGTCTTCAATCCCGCTGGTCCCTGGGTCTGGACAACCTCTGGTCAATCTCAGTGTAAATCCTCTTACCAATTTGTATATTGATCTAAGTTTTGGAAGTAGATTCTGTCAGATTGTAATTCTCGCCTCAGACTTGGTTGTAGCGATCATAGATATGAAAGACATATTTCTGACAATGCAGCATGTTCTTGTGGATACATATACGAAAATGTATGGCACTATTTCTTTTCCTGTCCCGGTTATAATGATGTAAAAAATGATTCATTCTTCTAATTTGAGGGAGTTGACCTCAATACTATTGAATGGTAATGCTAATTTTACAAAAACTGCAATCAGAACATTCATACATACTTTATTCCAAAAGGTTTAAGCTAACGTGAGACTATGAATCCCGCTTATATATTGATGTTTCTACTCAATACACCAAACTGTTGTCCCTGACCACTTGCTTTTGTTAATGTATTTAGTTCATCATCATGTACTATTTTGTACAATTCCTTAATGAATATAACTTGTACTGGAGAGGTATTAACATAAACCTTGGCTAGGTTACCGATCCAGATTCACTAAATAAGACTATGTTTAAATCAAGTCCTCTTACGGAGACCATAAGCCATCTGAGTTAACTTGTTCCTCTCCTTCTTTTCCAACCTCTGCAGTACACTGACCAGAGCAAATATGTTGCGGTGTGCCCTCTTGCACCATGTTCACCATGTTCGTCTTGTTGACGTCACGGTCTGGTTGACGTCACCGGCTTGTTGGCGTCACGGTCTTGTTGATAGGCTTCACTGATTTAAACTGATTTGAACCAAGAACTCCACGACAAGCATTTTATAACATATATTTACTTCTCCGCTTTAAGTAAAGAAACCAAAATTCTTATTTCTCCCAAAACTTCTCCCCCTCTCCCCCTGATGTTGCTAGAATATTGCTAAAAGCGGCGTAAAACCATACTCACTCACTTTATATAGATACCATAAAACAAAAACACCCGAGATGAAGCCCTAGCTCGGAAAAATCACTCAAAAATGCCATCTAGGATATTAATACGTCAACTCATCCGAAGTCACAATTGTGATGACACTAGGCCATCAGAAAATCACTACAAAGGTTTCCACCCTCCCTGGAATGATACTTGTTTTACCCTCCCTCGCGCTCGGCATTAAGGGTCTGAATCAAGGACTGGTCGGCTTGGAGTCGGCCATCTGTGTCTGAGCGGGGTATTCATGTTAAACAGCGGCATGGTATATCAGTGTGCTAGCACTATAAAATCAGTATTAGTCAGAACTAGTACAAGCAGCCACGACCCGTGAAGATCCGGGGTAAAATAGGTCTTCAGCAACATGCACGTCGCTGTATAAGTGCAATAATCTTGAACGTGACGTTAAACACCATTTCACAATCATCTTGTGTCAAACACGTTCTTCATCGTGGTGTGGCTGGAACGCGAGAATGTCCCTTACAGTATGCCATAATAAGCGGAGCAAATATCGTGCTCACTCACTATTTCCGTCTATCGCCCGTGTTTCTCCCAATTAAAAACCAAATAAAATGGCTTTACCTTCCCGATTTGCTTTGGAATAAAATGACTTTCGATTTCGATTTCTACAAAACATAGTCATAAATTGAACATAAAGCTATGTCACGTCATGTTAGCGTGAAACCGATCATGAAGGGACTTTCACTTGTTGTCCGCGGCTTAGCAAATGGGGAGTGTAGTTTCAACTCCATTCGTCACCACTCCCTCCTTTCCGTAACCTGCAAGAAGACTCGTCCCCCTATCGATGAATGTTATGTGCGAAAATACGACAAACCAATCAGAATGCGCGCACGATTTCAAGTTCTTCGTCAAAGAATCCCTCAGAAATAATTTTTGATTTTACATACATCTTGCATCTAAAGATATACCCAAGACGCAGTTACATGTGTTCAATCATACTGTATAATTCCGCATGTCCCAATGTGCTTTAAATTGCATCTGAAATATATATAATATATGGGGAAATATATGTTAACCATTAGGCAACGAGTTGACAATTGTTTTAGGTATGCCCGTTTGCGCTAAGACGGAACCCGATCAGAAAAATGGCCATGAGAGGGGCACGAGTCGCTATTTGGCTTGTCCCGGAATAACACGAGTTGGTCACGAATGGTTTCACCTCTTAATGTATGCCAGTAGTTTCACCTCTTTATGCACCGCCTCAGTGGTCTAGTGGTAGAGCGCACGGCCGGTGAGCGACAGGTTGTGGGTACGATCCCCGCCCGCAGTGCTGATTCTGTGTCGGTAGATATTCGAGACTGGTTGTTTCCTCCGGCGTTTCTGTTTAATATTTACAATTAGCATCTTTTTGAGAGTTAAATAGAGAATCTCACCCGAGTGTCTTTTGATATCAAATATATCAACACGAGTTGATAAAAGTGGAAAAATTCCGAGGCTTGCCGAGGATTTTGGCCACTTTTATCAACGAACCTGGGTAGGTCGATCCTCAGTGGGAACTGACTCTACATCACGTATCGACATGTCGTGTGGTTCGATGCTTACCCCAAAGCAGTTTTTCGTAACCAAATCGTTTTATAATGTTGCTTAACCAAATCACTACATGTATTGTCTTCAGCAGTAACAATAACTGTCTTATAGATGGCTGCTTTTAGAAATATGTCCATGGGGATGGGGGTAGGGTGGGGAAGAGTGGGGAAGGGGGTTGGGTTGGGTTGGGTTAGGTTGGGGTGGGGTGGGGTGGGGTGAGGTTGGTCTTTGGACTTTGTCTTGTCATATATGCCTAACCTCCACCCCCTCATTTTATGTAATATCTATTCATGACCCCACCCCAATACCTGTTTCAAGACCATCCACTCCATATATCTTAAATGAGTCCGAAAATATTTTTCAAATTCATAAATTTAATATTTCATAAAATAGAACTGTGTTATCTTCTCAATATTTGACTAATGTCAGTGGAAGGTATTCTATACATTAAACAAGACGTACGTTTGTATTGCTTTATGAATAAATACAGACACATTGTGTATTACTTGATGAATAAGTACATATACATTGTGTATTGCTTTATGAATAAATACAGACACATTGTGTATTACTTGATGAATAAGTACATATACATTGTGTATTGCTTTATGAATAAATACAGACACATTGTGTATTACTTGATGAATAAGTACA